AGGCCCCTGGCTGAGGGCCACACTGGTGATGAGCGTGGCTGGGATTTGAACTCTCATCTGTCTGACCCGAATCCGAGCTCTTAGCCAGACTCTGCTGCTTCCTGAGGTAGAACTGACACCGGGCTCTTACATCTGCGAGTGTTTGGGGAGGAACCGTGTGGTTGCGTTTACTCATGTCCATCATCTCCTGCCGTCCGCACACCCGCTGCGAGCAGGGCGGGCAGGGACGGCCATCCCCTCTTACAGACGGAGCTAGTTCATGAAATGTGATGACCAGTGTGGTGACCACAGCAGTACGGCTGATCCGGGCCTGGGGCCCCGCCCTCCCCACCCAGAACTTGCCGTCGTCTCCTTTCGTTCACTAAGCTCTGTGATTGTCAGGGAGGAGAGCAGGGGTCTAGCCGGCCTCATCCTGTGCTCCTCCCTCCTTCCTGTTTAATTTCTCTCTCTGCAGCCCATCCCTGACTTGACCCCGTCGCTCCCTCTCCCAGCGGCTCCATTCCCTCCAGCGGCCCCCGCGCCCTGCCTGTGCCTGCGATGGGCTTTCCCACGCAGTGGCATGTGTGCGTCCCTTGCCTGCACTTCTCGATCACCGTCAGCTCACACCGGTCTTCCCTGGCCACGCCGTGTGAGGTGGCACCCCCGGCACCTCGGTCCCTCTTCACTTAATTTATTTCTCTTTTTTATTTATCACTCATCACCACCTATTTTATGTTCCTTTTACTTTACAAAATGTGCCTTCCTCTCTAGAATGTAAGCTCCTTGCAGACAGGGATCTGTCTCTGTTCGTGACTGTAATTCCCCTTTGGCACGTATTCCATGGGCCCCAAGACACATCCCCTGCTTATAGGGGGGATGTGGCCAGGAGTGGCCATCCCCGAGCCGTGCCCGGGAGTTCGCCCACTCCAGGAGGAGCCCCAGGCCGTGCTGTGGGGGTGAATGCACCCGCTGTGTGGCGCGGGCACGACCTCCCTCCCCCCCACACCCCCACCCCCGGCACCCTCACAGTGAGGCTGTGTCCATGCAGGAGGGGCTGAGTGATGTCACCGGGATGCATTTTGGGAATCATCATGTGGTTCACAGACACCCGAGTTGCTCTGAATGCAAGCCTGACATCATACTGAAGGCAGCAGCGAACAGCATGTGCACAGTAAACAGGCAGAGACTGTCTTATTGATTAACAGATGAGGCCTCTATTATCGATCAGAGCTTGCCGAGGAAATTTATCACTTTTAATTTCAGGGATGCCAAATATTTCTGCCTCTGAGCCAGCCATTACAGAGACAATTTAAAGGTGCGTGTCCCCCTGGGAGAGGGGGTTGCTGCCTCTCTCTCTGCTGGCTTGTGTGCCCTGGGACTGCCTGCCTGAGCTGTGGGGCTACACTGCGGGGAGTTGGCGTTGGGGTGGGGTGTGCTGGGCTCGATGAATGGGAGCTGATGTCCAGGGCATCCATGTGTGAGGACGGCTCTGACCCAGTGGCTGAGGACAGGAACCTGCGCACCCTCGGCTCAATTCTGTGACTTCAGCCAGACAGGGTTGGAGGGGAAGGGCTGGAGGACGACCAGCTGTGGTCAGGTTGAGCCCAGCCAGCGGCTGCCTCGGCAGCGAGTGCTGATGTGCCGTCTTCCTCTGCGCTTGTCTGGCGCACACATCCGGCCCTTGATGTCCCACCTGCCTCCTTCCCTTCTCTCGGCCATTAAAGCCGCCCTGACACCACATCCAGGGCTGTCTTCTAGGAACTCCTCCTACCACATCCCTTTGAAGCGGAGCTCTGGCTTCCTGGGGCTTCCCAGCCCCACAGGGAGCCCTTTCTTTCTAGTCCCCACTTCCCTCCTCAGGCCCCTTCCCCTTCTCTAGGGAGCCATGAGAACTGATAGAACCAAAGAAAGAAATACAATTAAAACCAGATCCCGTACAGACCCACGGAAAATCATCGTGGCTGACGATTTGGGGCTGGGGCAGCTCCTCTTCGTGAAGGGCCGGGGCCTCCCCTCCCCGGTGTTCCCGCTCTGGCCCGTCTACTCTCTGAGGCTCACGCTGCATCTCCAGGGTCAATGTCTGCCACCTCTGTGACACAGGGTGGCTGTGTGGACGTCAGGCTTCCTGGCTTTCTTCAAAGCTCTGTAAGCCCCTCATAGGCCTTGGGGCCCAGGGATGCCCTCCAGCTTGAAGGGAAACCCAGAGGGGTCAGCTGTTCTCCCTGCCTCCTGCAGAACTCGGCTCCAGCCACCTAGAACAGATGGCAGTGCTTGCTTGTAAAGCACTTAAGGGAAAGTTCTTTCGTATCTTTACTGGGGCACTGGATCACGCGTTCATTCTATCAGTCAACTAATACTTGTTGAGCACCTACTAAACGCCAGTGCCCTGTAGAGCCGGACAGTCCCAGTCTTCTCGGGCTCCTCGTCCCCTTCACTGGTGAGAACTGGTCATTGGTGTTTAATTGAAGACTGACGCTACAACTTACATTCTGAGTTCTAGCCCTTAAGGGTGCGCTAATACTCCTGGTTTTAAACTTTTAAAGAGCAGTAGAACCATTTTTTTCCGAATAGAATTTTACACAAAACCTTGATGCATTCAAGGGGTAAGTTGGATTTTCACTTCTGTGATTTGAGAGACGGCAGCCCAGAGTTCACCGTCCTACCCAGGAGGCATCTCTGCGGGTGGAACTAGGAGGCTGGAGGGCACTGGGCTGCAGAGCAGAGGCTCTGACATCGGCTGCCAGCTTCTCCTCCAGCTCCGCTGCTCCTGTGGGACCCTGGGCCAGCTGCTCAACCTGCCCGAGCCTGAGGTTCTCATATGCTAAAGGGGGGTAGGAATGGTAAGCGCTTTAGAAGGGTTTCAGGATCAAATGCAATGGTATGTCCTCAGGACTTAGCATCCTGCAGTGTGTGATAAAGTCTCAGGAAATCTGAGAGGCTTTGAGAACGCACTGGATTGTTTCTGGTGCAGCATTCTGCCTCTGTGAACCCTGATAGAAAACGAGAGCACAGGCACCCTCAGGGCGGTGCTCGGTCATGCCGAGGGGAGCAGAGGCGGCCGGGGGGAGGGAGGGGGGCAGAGCAGCGAGGGCTGGGGTGCTCGGTGCGTGCTTTCTCCAGTTTTGAAAATAGAAAGGGCCTGGAATAGACGAGGAGTGAGACCAGGCATCACTAAAGCGCAGAGACTCAGGGAGGGTCGGGTGGTGCACATGGGCCAGTGAGGACAGTTCTCTGCGCAGGCCTTGAAGCCGAGGAGCGGAATGGAGAACCAGTGAGGGCCACTGTATCTTCTTGAGCAAGGAAGTGTGAGGAGCCACGTGACCTACAAGGGGCCGGCGTCTGCTGGTTGGCTCTGAGGGCAGCTGGTGGTGTGGCAGCCGTCCTGAGTCTTCGGTGTCCCAGGCACGGCCCCACGAGGGCCTGGTTGGGACAGTGATTAGGGAAATGCGGAGGAAGAGAGGCATCCAGTAGACATTTGAAAGAAAACCGCCAGGGCTCACACAGGTGCTCCCTGGATGAGATAACATCTTGAAGACGATGAGTAAGCAGTAAAAAGTCGTCCTGTTTAACTTGACGTTGTGACATTTTCACTTGGAGCCCTGTGAATAGTGGTTCTAAAAAAGTTTACCAAATGGAACTGCACTGAATTGATTAGTTTATTCCACCAGTATGTACAGTCATAGGTCCCACTGGGGGGGGGGGGGGGGAGCAGATGCCCTGCTCCCTCCCTCAGGAACCAAGTGTCCGGAGATGGAGACAGACTGGCCCACAGGCATTGGTAAAGGAGCATGCGCGGCTGTGAACTGGACCGTACGGGGTGCGTCGGAGCAGAAAGGAGGGCTCCCTCCCCCAGACAGCAGGACAAGGGGAAGGAAGCTGATGCTTAAATGAGGACTAGAGACCGGCTGTACCGAGGGGCCAGGGCGAAGGGCAAGACTGTCAGAGACTGGAGGTACAGAAGGATGTGTAGAGACCTTGTGGTGAGAGAGGACACAGCCCCTCCAGCAGCCAGAGCAGCTCCTCACAGGGCTGGAGCCTGTAGAGCAGGAGTGAGGAAGCAGAGACAAAGTAGGGAAGCTGCTAAGCACACCGAGAAGCGCTTTGTGCCTTGGCCAGTTGCTCAGTGGTTAGAGTGCTGGCCCGGGCACTGAAAGGTCATGTGGTTTGATTCCCAGTCAGGGGCACGTACCTGGGTTGCGGATTCGATCCTGGCCCCGGTCAGGGAGTGTGCAGGAGGCAACCAGTTGATGGGTCTCTCTCACATCAATGTTGCTCTCTCTCCCCCTCCTTCCTTGCCTTCCACTCTCTAAAAAATCAAGGGAAAGGATGTCCTTGGTGAGGAATAACAGACAAACAAAACAAAACAAAAAAGCACTTTGTGAGCTATCAGGAGGGGTTTGGACTTTACCCAGAAGGCACTAGGGAGTCATTCCGGTTTTTGAATGGTCAGCTGTAGGAGGTGGCTGGGGGGAACTGTGGTTTAGTTTTGGACACACAGAGCTAGGGGCTTATCCAAGTAGAGGTATGCCAGTAATTCCTTGAAGCATAATCTAGGCAGCAGAGCATGTATCACTCACTCCTTCCCATCCCACACCTGGAGCAGCCCACAAAGTCCCTTCTTGCCAGGCGTCTCATCGGGAGTCCGTCTCTGTTTGTCTTGGTTCCCTCTTCTTGCTGGGAGGGCCCTGGACGGCGCATTTGGAGTTCATGTGGGTGGTGGTTACCCTTTGAAGGAGAGCTGAGCTGGGCTGGCTGCTGGGGCCTTGGATTCTCCCTGACACATCACAGGTGTTCACCCCCTGCCCCAGGTCCACCTGCACGATTTGGGACCCCGCCTCCTAATGGAATGCCACTCTGGGAAGTCAGTAACCGCCTCCCCTTTCTTTCAGCGGGCGCCAAAGCCTTCGTCTGCGATCAGTGCGGTGCCCAGTTCTCGAAGGAGGATGCCCTGGAGACACACAGGCAGACCCATACAGGTGAGTCGGCTTCGATCCCCATTCTCCAGCTCCTCCAGTGTGGTAGCACATGGATGGGAGGCATCTCGGCCGCACCCCTTCAGCAAGGCGATATCCAGTCATCTCCTGGGGACTGTGAGTGGGGGTGGCTGGGCAGGTGTGACTTTGCTCCCCAAGAGCATTGCCCTGGATTAGGCCTAAATCTCTGTCTCTAACAGGCCACCGAGGTCCGTCTTCTCTTGTCAGGATCTTTGAAAGTCCAGGATGTTGTCTAAGCATCCCCTTCCTCTGAAGGGTCAGGACACCCTTTATCCCCTGTGACCAACTCTGACACCCTTGTGTGGCCCAGTGGCTGGTCCCCCATCTTCGAGGTTAGAGTCATGGTCCAAAAGAAAGCAGTCTGCACACAGGGTGAACAAGCAACAATATCATGTTATTTGACTTCAAAGCATTAATTTCACAGCATCTTCTCATCACTGTGATTGGCACTGTCCTCGTCATGAGTGTGCCTCCCACTCACTGGACACTCCTTAGACTGGTCTTAGTGTCCCTGACCTCACCTGGCCTGTCTCCCAGTAAACGTGTAAGGTAGGAGGCGGCACCCATGTCATAGATGAGGAGACTGAGGCGCAGAGGACGGAAGGTGACTTGCCTGAGTGAGTGAGCACGGGAGTGGTACAGCTTAGACCATCTGCGATGAAACCCAGCTCACCTTTTAGCTCTGCACTTCCTGTGTGCAGGACCTTGGATCAGTTACTTAAACTCCCTCAATTTCCGTTTCCTCATCTGTTAGAAAAGTGGAGTAATGATAGTACCTACCATAGAGAGTTGTAGGGATTAAGTAAGATGTTTTATTTAAGGTGATTGGCAGAATGTTTGGCTCTTAGTAAGCATTCAATACATAGTAGTAGATGTATTTAATTTGATAAGTATGTGTTGAGTAACTATGACATTCCTGGCACTGTTGGGCCATTTAGGGAGAGTAACATAGGTGACGGACAGCGCTTCTTGTGGAACTGTGATCCTAACAGGGAGAGAGTATAGGCAAATAGGTGTCTAATACAGTGCCACGTTATAGTAAGTGCTGGTAAGAACAAATAAAGCAGGATGAGGGCAGAGAGTGATGGGGGAAAAGTGGTGTTTTAATCAAATGGTCGGGGGAGGCCTCTCAGAGAAGGTGGCATCTGAGCAGAGTCCTAAAGGGAGGGAGTGAGCAGCACAGCATTTTCAAATGCTTGCAGACCATAAGCTGATCAGAGACTTGTAGTTATAAAATAAAAGGACTCTTATGTCTCAATAATAAAAATACAAATAACCAACATTAAAAACGGACAAAGGAATCTGATAGACCTTTCTCCAAAAAGAGACAAATCCGTGAGCTGTCAGAAAATGCAGATCAAAATCTCAGTGAGGTCCTGCTTCACCGGGGGCAGGACGTGGCTGTCATAAAAATCCGACTGCGAGAAGGTTGGCGACGATGTGGAGAAGTCAGAGCCCCATGCTGCTGGTGGGGGTGCGGAATGGTGCGGGCACTTTGGGAAGCAGTCTGGTAGTTCCTCAAAGGTTAAACGAAGTCACCGTGTGACGGGGCAGTGCCCCTCCTAGGGACGTACCCAGGAGAAATGAACACATGCAGCTACACAAGAACTTGCACACACGTTTATCGCGGTGTTATTCATGGTAGTCAGAAGGTAGCCCTAGCCAGCGTCTGCCCGCTGACGAATGGATGAAATACCGTGGAATATTATTCAGCTACGGAAAGGAATGAGGTGCTGATACATTCCACAGCACAGGTGAACCTTGGAAACCTCACGCTCTGTGAAAGAAACCAGACACAAAAGGCCGCGTGGTGTACGGTTTCATTTACAGGAAACACCCAGAGAGGCAGATCCATACACAGAAAGGAAATGGGGGTTCGTTTCAAGTGAAAATGTTCTAAAATTGTGATGGTTACACAACTCTGAATGTATTAGAAACGATTGAACTGTCTTCAGTCACTCTTAATATGGTTTGGAACTGTGCGTGTCTACCTACACACGGATCTTTTTCAGGAAATACCTGTACTGTTTGTGCGCTGTGGTTGGGGGTCCGCGGATACGGAGGGCTGGCTGTATGCTTTGATCTATGCCATTTTATATAGGGGACTTAAGGCTCGTGGGCACTGAGGCACAACTGAGTTTGGGGGAGTCAGAAGTTATACACGGATTTTCAGCTGCATGGGAGGTCAGCACCCCGAATCCCCCATTGGTCAGCGGTTAGCTGTGCTTTAAAAGCATGAATTGCACATTGTGTGGTACCCGAATTATATCTCGGTAACGCTGCATATACACGCATACCACACGCACATTTATAGGGAAGGGGACAGTAGCTCACCACCGGGCTAGAATGGGAGGGTGGCCTGACTCAACTTACGTGTCTGGGCGAGCGCCCTGGGCCCTGGGTTGAGCGGGACCACGGGAGGGTTTCCGTTGTCAGCGGCTCTACAGCAGTTGATTGAAGCAACGGTGTCTTTTTTCTTGGGCAGTTGTGTGGGTTGACTGAGCTCAGCCGGACAGTTTTCACCTGGGGCCTCGCGTGGGGCTGCAGTCGGGGAGTCTCTGCCTGGGGTATTCTGCAGACTCGACGGGCCTGGGTGTCCAGTGGCCTCCTCAGCCCCTTGCGGCCTATCGGTGCTCCCCCACGTGCCCTCCAGAGCTGAGTAGCTGGACTTCATGACAGCGCCGGGCAGCCCTCCTGAAGCTGGGCGGGGACGCGGCATCGCCCCGCCAGGCTTTACTGATCACAGCAGGCACAGGTCAGCCCAGGTCCCGGGTGGCCGACTAGAGTCTCTTCTGGGAGGGCTGGCAGGCAGACAGGGAGAGGAACTGATGGCAGTCGACTCTAGACTCAGGGCTGAGCCACCACGGCGAGGGGGGCTGTGGTGGGAGAGGGAGGGAGCCCAGTGAGCTGCTGCCGTGACAGTTATTGTCGCAGGTATGTCCTTGTCCTGCCTCCTCACCAGGTCTGCTCTCCTGAGCGGGCTGGTGCCATGGGCGTTGGCCTGTGGCAGTGGGAGGAGAGCCTTCTAGGCGAGCTGGCACTCCTGCCCTCGCCTGCCTGGCTCCGTTGGAGACGGGGACTCGACCAGATGATTGTGCTCAGGGCCCCACAGCTGGTTGTCTTGAGAGCCAGAGGCGATCTCCCCGGCCCCGCTCTAGACCTCAAGTCACCGAGGACCCCACCCTGGAACTGCTCCGGGGCTGAGAGACTGCGTGCGGGCCAGTGTGCCAGGCAGCTCATTCTGTCCATCAGGCTCATGTGCAGAGCAGGGCGCGAGCTGCCACTCAGCCAGGCCTGGGAAGAGGCACAGTCCCGTGCGGGAGCAGAGGGGACTCTGTTCGCAAGCAGACCCCACACCTTCTGGCCTGGCACTCGCTAGGGACATGACAGTGACCAACACAGACACCTCCCAGCTCCCACATGCCCATGTGGCACCCCCCCAACAGCTTTCTTCAGCTATAACTCACCGTATAGCTCACCTGTTGAAAGTGTACAGTTCAGCGGCTTTGGTATATTACTCTGTTAATTTTTAAGGCAGTGGTAAAACATGTGCAACATGAAATTCGCCATTTTTAAAAATATATATATTTTATTGATTTTTTACAGAGAGGAAGGGAGAGAGATAGAGAGTTAGAAACATCGATGAGAGAGAAACATCGATCAGCTGCCTCCTGCACACCTCCTACTGGGGATGTGCCCGCAACCAAGGTACATGCCCTTGACCGGAATTGAACCTGGGACCCTTCAGTCCGCAGGCCAACGCTCTATCCACTGAGCCAAACCGGTTTTGGCGAAATTCGCCATTTCAACCGTTTTTAATTGTACACTTTGGTGATATTAATGACCCTGGCCTGTTTTCAGAGTTTGGGTTTTGCATTGGCTTTGAAAGTCAGGATGCGTCCGCGGACCAGTGACTTTCTAGAATTGATGAAGTAACGAGAACTTGAGAGAGGTCAGCCCTTTCCGGAAAAGGGTGATTGACTGTTTAGAGAGCGATGATTTGGAAGAGCCTGGAGTTGGAGTCAGAAGCCTGGGGTGGGGCTCTAACTCCACTACCTGGTTGGTGAGTACCTTGCCTTGTCACTCGCCTTTCTGCCCTCAAGTCCCCTCACCTGCGAAAGGAGCCTAGTGCGGTGCCTCCTGCGGCACAGGTAGGGCCCAGCCCGCTCAGCCTGGCTTTTGCTCCTCCAAGCTGAGTGCTTGGAGCCCGTGAAAGGGGAAAACAGTTGAATCCCAATTAAGGATGAGAGACCAAGGCGGGTGCTCTGAGAAAGGCGCCCTCCCCGCCCGGGTGTGAGAGTGGCAATCTCCCCCAGCCGAAAGGAGCGCCTCCCGGTGCCACCGGGCTGTGCTCTCCTGGGCAGAGGTGCAACGGCAGCCTCACCCTCAGCGGAGGGCTGGCACCCCGGCGGCTCTGCCTGACACGTGGCAGAGCTCGCAGGTCACTTCCAGCGCTGTTCCCGCAGAACCCACACAGGGCTTCCGACGTCTCTATGACCAGTCGTTGGACGAACACAACTGAAATCCGCTTGTCATCTCTGTTCTCAGAAAGGGACCCCATGACGGGGAGAGGCCTGATGTGAGGAGTGCTGGTAGGAGCGCTGGGGGAGCCAGCGGGTGCCTGGGCTGTGGGGAGCCAGCAAGAGAGCAGGGAGCACGCTCTGAAAAGGAGGAATCGAGACCCCAGAGAGTAAAGTAATGGCAGTGCCACCTTATACTTTTGACACCGTAGTTTATAAAACGCCTTCCTATATTATACCCATTTAACAAATGAGAAAACGGAGGTCTAGAAGCCACCCACTAGGAGGTGGAGAGCTGGAACTTAACCCAACTTCAGTGCTCTTCCCACCACGCCTCAGCTGCCCGCACATTGATTTACTGTTTAAAGAGAGCACGTCAGAGACCATTTAGTTCATTGATCTCTGGTCCGTTTGATTAAGAATCCTCAACATGCTCTAGCCGGTTTGGCTCAGTGGATAGAG